TTWWWACWTYATACTGTTWTAACTTYATACTGTTTTAACTTTATACTGTTATAACTTYATACATTATACTGTTATAACTTCATACTGTTTTAACTTTATACTGTTTTAACTKTATACTGTTATAACTTTATACATTATACTGTTATAACTTCATACTGTTTTAACTTTATACTGTTATAACTTTATACTGTTATAACTTTATACTGTTTTAACTTCATATGTAAACTAAACACTGATGTCTAATGTTTCACTTCATGTGGCAAGTTTTTACATCGTCATCAGCCAAAAAAGACAGATAAAAAAGATATGAAATAGTAAATATTTGTTCCTGTAAACAGTGAGAAATTGATAATCTAATAAATCTAAATAAAGCTTCATCTAATTACGTTTTGAAAAATCAAAATATACAGAGTTATTATTATAGTAGTAGTAGTATTTACGGTGGAAGAGAGAGCTTAAAATATTTAAAGGTCCAGTGTGTAAAATTTAGGTGAAATGGATCTATTGGTATAAATTGAATATAAAATAATCCTAGTAATGTTTTCAATAATGACATGACAGAGAACCTGTCTACCATTGGTTCTCTGTCATGTTTGGAAGGGGAGGGTAAGGTTAGGGTCAGCTGCAACACGCAACTTCACCACTAGATGTCACTGAATTCTACACACTGAACCTTTAAATATAAAGGTCCCATTCTGTGGTAAAGACAGATGGTTACAAACTTAATCTCACACACTGGACCTTTAAATATTATGTTGGGGACACAGATTTGGTGAGATGATGTCTGAAGATTGCGTCAGAAACTGCTACGAGTTGTTCTATTAGTAAAAAACACAAAATAAGACATTAATGCGTCATGTGACTGCGTGATATTTATCAACGTTGAGCTCGTGCTACAGCTGCAAGTACTATGTGCGCTGACGTCATCCAACGTGACCGGAAGTCTCTCAGTCATCTGAGCCACAACAGCGTCTGCAGCTACGACGGTCAAAGGTTTGTCTGTTAAAACCTGAGGTTTTTATAGTTTCATCTCAGACATCTTCTGTTCCACCAGAACAACACACCGTGAGCTGACACAGGTTTATGGGTGTTGTTATTTGGATAGCTGTCAATCCTCGTTAGCTAGCTAGCTAGTAAACCAACACCCCTTCATTATGTTTAACGCTTGAAATGTCAGGCTATAACCAGCGACAGTTACTTTACGTTCATGTTGACGGTTCGTGTGATTGTGAACGATGAGTGTGAGATATCGTGATAGGGTGTATTTAATGCTCAAGGCACGTTTACTTTAAGCTAGCATGAGCTAACAGTCCGAAGCTAACGTTAACGACTTCCTCTCAAAATTGGGCTATTATCTGTCAGATTAAACAAGTTGTGGTGGAAGAAGGACTCAAAATATTTACTTAGGCAATTCAAAGTTCTAATATTGTTGTATACAATGCTCTGTTTCAAGTCCTACATTTATAAATCTTTTATAGCAGAGTAACTGAGGTTTTCCACTACAAGGTACTTTTATTGTGTAATTTTCCAGGAACCTGAAATATGATGTCATATGTTGCATTTGTTTCATAATCGATCGATTGTTTTGCCTACACATTACCAGAGAATAGTGAAAGATCCCTGTTTGTTATGTTTTCCCCTCAGACCAAGACGACATTTTAAATCTTGTATGAATCGAATATTTCGTGCCCAGATGTTATTATCTCCAGGCGCTCTGCTGTTAGTGTTGTTGAATTGTTCAAACTTTCATGTTTTTTCTTGTGGTCTTACATAAATTCTTGTCTCAACTCCACAGATGGCGTACCCTAAATCCCACAACCCGTTTGCAGATGATGACGATGAGGAAGGCTTTAAACCTAAAAGTCGGGGTTTCGATGATGACCCCAGTGATAGTGGGTTGAGTGACGCAGAGAGGAGGCAGCGATACCTGCAACAGGAAGTGATGCGTACAGCTCAGTCTGCTGTGGACAGCAGTTACCGCTCCCTCGGCCTCATCCACGAGTCTGAAAAGATGGGTGTGGAAACTGCAGAGGTATGTTGGGCAAATCAGCTTTTCTCCAGCACACAAAGAATCATATTGACTCTGAGAGGTTAACAACCAACAAAAAGTTCTTATAGTATCTCTCACTCTACCCTCTCTCTCTCACACACTGGTTTTGTCTCTGTAGGAGCTGATGCGACAGGGTGAGGCTCTGAAGAGGACAAACAAGATGTTGGACCACATGGATCAGGACCTGAAGACCAGCCAGAAGCACATCAACAGTATAAAGAGCGTATGGGGCGGCCTCGTCAGTTACTTCAAGGGCACGCCAGAGACAAAGCCACCACCTGAGCAGCCTAATGCCTATCAGGCCAGTGACAAGTAAGGTTCTTAACCATGGCAGAGAAAACTGGTTTTATTATTTTTGCAGTTTCCAGCTACTTGTCATTGACTGTCCTTAATGAGTTAAACAATGCTTATCTCACTTTCTCATGCTCAGATTAGAGAACGCCTTGTCTGGCAGCAAAGACGTTGAAGATAGGTATCAAGCCAGCCACCCTAACCTAAGAAAGCTTAACACAGGAGGTAAGAGATGTTTACACAATGATGTCTGCAATGGCATAACCATACCACAAACTGGCTGCCACCATTTTGAATTTCTGTGTTTTAGGATTTGGAGCTTCGGCATCAGTAGATGACAGCTCATCTCAAAAGAACGGTCACCCTCAGAATAGACACCTTAGGGAGGCCCACCAGACCCTCGACAACAATTTAGGTAAAAAAAAAAATTTTTTTTTTCATAATACAAAGTTTTTTGTGGAACAGGGTGAAGATGTAATTCTCATCTTAAAATGATGGTGTTTTATTTACTATAATTTACCTTACACCCAAACACCATTACAATAAAATGGTTTATTCTGTCAAATTTTGAAATACTGTGAATCCTAACATAGCAGTGTATTACTGAATATTCTCAGTCAAGTGTGAAATGTTTTGTGTCGTACAGTTTAACTAGAGTCAGATATCCTTTCTGTGAATGACTTAGATGATATGTCTGATGGCTTGAGAAGACTAAAGAACCTCGGGCTCGGACTACAGAGTGAGATTCAGAGCCAGGACGACTCCATTGATTCTCTGCTTAATAAAGTGGACAAGATGGACAGCAAGATCCTCAACACGAACAAACAGATTAAAAACCTTAAATAAACAAACTCAGACTCACCCTACAGAGACAAGAACAAGTCAACATCCTCACTTTTCCATCCTGGGCTTTGTTGAATACACATGTTCTTTGATTTAATCTTTTTTTAATGTACTGGAATATGTAACTAGCAGATAAACAAGTGGATATGTTTTTATTCAAATCAATTTCTTCTTGAGTGACATTCCCTTTTCTTTTTGAATTTGTTCATAAATCTGAGATTGTCTAGGTCCCTTCTGTCCTGTGCACACTTGCACATGCCTCCTGGAACATCCTTAAAATGTGATTCATCTACTTGGTTGCTATGAAGGGAAGACTATATCATGTTTATTGGATGTAAAGCAGCGTTTGATCTGATTCATCTCTCTTAAGCTCCTCTGCCTTTCTGTCTCAGTGTAGTCAGCTGAGTTTTCACTTGTTGTGTGATAAGAGCGCCAGTTTGATCAGTTTTTGTGTGTATGATTCACATCCTGGACCCGCCTCCACATTTGTACAAAAACACTTTGCAAGACTCACTTGACCACCTTTGCCTTACATGTTACATGCATGCACAGTAGAATATCTGTTGGGGGTGTCTCCACTGGTACATCTAATTACAATTCTTCAGTTTGATTTAGACTTTATGTTCGTGTCCACATGTGCTTTCAATTGCTTTATATACGATGTTGATATTGATAAACTCTGTATCACATTAAATCCTGCAGACTGTGATGGATTGAATTGAGTAGTTAGCTTTAAGTTAAAAGCTCTTGAAACTGATAGAACATACATAATATTATAAATATAAATCATACCCAGGATAAAATGTCATAGGTGAGCAACTACATGAATGTTTTCAATATAGAAAAACAAAGGTTATTCAGATAAAACTATTAAGAAACTGTTTCTTTTTATCATGTTAATCATGTATTTTAATTAAAACCACATACTCAATAAAAGTATAAGGGAATTCTCAGGTGTCACAAAAGAGTTTGGAAGGAAGTCAAAAGTACCACAAGGTGGCGCCACAGTTGTAGAGTTGAATTCATTTACGATTAACTTCTGTAGCAATACACCAGAGTTAGCGTTTATTAACTCAAATATATCACAGCTATTGGTTTGCATTGAAATTAGAGCCCTGAAATACATAAGCTGGGTGAATTTTAATAGAATAATACATTTCTATCTATCAGCACAGCTGTTGCAGCTGAAAGTAACTGATTATTTCCCCTGAAGGGATCAGAACAGAGCCACATTACTGTATTATCTTCTTTCAGCCTTTTAAAAGAGTATCATACTTTACTGTTATTGAATATTCTACTGGGATTAGTCTTTTATAATGATGCATGATTCTGTCTGAATATGCCTTTGCCTCAGGTTGGGTGTGTTTTTACTCTACTGGTACCAGCTGTGTTGCTGTGTGTTGCTCAGGTCCTCATGTCCAAGTGTCTATTCATTATCATTCCTCTGTGTTGGACCAGCTGCTCCCACACAGACAACAAGCCTTCATTAGGATGACTTGCTAATTACAGTACACACGTCCCCCAAAACACACACATACACAACACTGGGGCTGCGGCAGAAGAAAAATGGGGATACCGGGATATCCAGGGCCCCCGAGCTGAGGGAGGCCCCTGCATGTCTGGACTGAAAAACACATATTTGTGACACCTCTGGCATATTTGTAACTATTGCATGTTTTGTATTTGTAGTAATATATTTATAACATATATTTAAAACAAAACTTATCTGAATGAGTGAAAAGCAAAACAATCAAACATGAAGTTGTATATTCCTGCAAGAAACATGCAGGAATATAAATCTAAGACGGTTTTTGCTGCAGTTACTGAAACTAAATTTGAGATTTTGAGCATGTTTTAATTTCAAAGGAACAGAGAAGAACTTTTTATAATCCATCACAACCTTGGAGGTTTTACTTTTGTAGCTCCAGGGCAGAAATGTCTTGAATGTGTGTCTCAAAGTTTGACCATCTTTTTTCAGAGCAGTGACTTATTTCCATGAATTCAGTGGAGCCTCTGTAATGTGATTATTGAAGATGGTTGAACTTTGGCTACAGATCAACGTGCAGTAGAGTGAAACACAGGTAGAAGTTTCGCCGCACAGCCACCAACACCACCGATAAACGGAAGTCACCTCTGGGTTCTTTCCCTTCACGCCATCCATGGGGGCCGTGAGGGCTTTGAACAGCTGTCTTGTCAAAAGCAAACAGTGGCCGTGCTGTGACAAAGGCCGTCGGTGCTGGAATGCCCCCCTTTTCAGCCAGAGTAATCCCAGAACACACTGCTGTCGGAGCCCATCAGGCACTGGGCCAGAGACGGGCCTTCCTGCCCTTTGGAAAGCGGGTTAGCAGCAGAGGCAGGGCAGCCGGGGGGGGGGGGTGAAGCCTGCCTCAGAGGGGATGGACTGACTGGCTGACAGCACTCTATTGCCACTGTTGTAGTAAGAGAAAATAAAGAGTTGTGCTGACTGAGGGGAGTTTGGTAGGGAGCTGGCGGAGAGGCAGAAGGGAGGGAGGAGGAGGGCAGAGAAAGAAGGGAGGGCAGCTGGAGAGATTAATGGAGGAGGTGAAGTTCAAGTGCCTCGGACATGGAACACAAGAAAGAAGCCAAGGGCATGAGTCTCTCAAAGGCTGAACATGGAATCGCATATTTGTCAGATCTTGGACCTCTTGCTCTTGCATCTCTCAGGCCCATGTGCTTGTTATCAAGGACATGATAGTTGAGTGGTCAAGTCTTTGTTGTTTTTCTATTTTTCTATTCAATTTTCAGACAAAAACGCAAAATGACATGTGTAAAGCTAAGCACTCAAACGTTTCCCTAATGTCTATTTACCCCAATCATCCTCTTAACCTTCTTGGTTAAACACCAGTGAAAGAAGTACTTTGAGATGATTTGAGCCATCCAGTGTCTCAGCTGCTTGTTTCGTCCGTCCACACATCATATCTGACACTTACATAACGAGAACAAACCCCAAATTGCCGGAGAATGTAGCTCAAATGCATGATTATACACATTAACCGCCATTTCGCTTGTCGTCATCCCATTTACACCACAGGTAAAAATGCCAGGAATGCAAGAGAAATGTGTTGATGGTCACAAGTTGCGTGTGTTCTCCTTTTAACTGTGAGCCGCTGCTTGTAAACACTGGTCAAACGGAGCAGTGCTGCGCTCACGATGGTAATTGTAGAGGCGAGAAGTCAGAAATGCTCGGCCTGTGCAAAGAAAATCTGTGTTATTGGTAGATCTAACTGCCTTGATGCAGTAAAACACCCACATTAGAAAAATATGACAAGGGAGGGAGGGAAGGTGACAGTATAGTTGTTTATTTTCTTACTAATGGACAGTGTACAGAGTATGCTGCGCTGCACTAATAAAATCATTGCTTGTTTTATAATAAATAAACACACAAACACAGGCACAGACATGGGAGAGAAAGTCACAGAGTTCCAGGGAGGAAAGTGTTTTACTGGCAATACACGAGTCCTCGTATAAAACCAGTGGAACAAGAGATGTGGGGAAATTTGTGTTTTTCAACAGTTTCTCTGAGAGAAAACATGAAGCCAGAGGAGAGAAGAAAAGGAAGAGCAGGGCGAGGAGGTGGGAGGACACTTTGCTGATTATCAAAATGAAGATACTGTTATTGGAATCTAAAAGGTTTTTTGAAAAACAGCCAGTGAGACAAAGAAAACATCAACAAAGCCATTCCTTTCAGTCTTGGCCACAGAGGACAGAGAGAACCAGAGTGAAATTCTCTTAAATGGCTCTTTTTCCTCTCCAACAATATTAGATCCAAACACTAAAAAACATCAATGACTCACTATAAGAGGAGGCAGACGTGAACGAGGAAGCTTGATGGGAGACAAAGACACAAATGTAAGCACCTGAGAATCAATACCTGATATTCACCTTGACTTGCTGGCATTAATGTTTTGTTTAAAAAGAAATGATCACAGGGACAAAACTGTAAAAATACACATATATTGGCTTAAGGATTCTAGCGATGGATACAATTTGAACCAGTTTTCAGTATCTCTAACCAGCAGGTGATTTAGGGCCCTGTGAATTACTGGGTGTTTGGTGTTTAAACTGTTGGATACAACAAGTGTAGTTATATAGACACATATACATTACACATAAACAATCAAAAGTAGAAAATGTATAAAGCAAAATAATATATTTATATATTTATACATTATGCATTAACAAATGCATTTGCATTGATGGAGGTAGATAGCAAAGATTGAGAGGTAAAAAGGTATTTAGATGTTGCTGTGCTTTATAGGAGAAAAAGTACATAATGTGGCTGTAAAATCTGAAGTAAAATGCAAGGATTTCTGTGTGCTTATAGTAATAGTTTATACAGTACAGATTATGAGGTGAAAAAAACAAAAAGTGGCAGGATGCTGTTGATCTCCTTGAGTTACCCATCCAGGAATCTGGCTTGGCTGGCAGGGCGCTCCACAGTGAGCAGGAGGCGTCCAGGGGGATGTCGTCCCTGCACACGGATGTCTGGGGTTTGAATGTTCACACAAAGAGCACAGAGTAGGGAGGACAGTGGCAGCCCTCTGAAGACGACTCCCGTACCCAGGAACCATGACATCCTGGGACTGAAGCTGCTGCCCAGAACGTTCTGGGAAATAAAACAACTGTGTCAGACATGTGACGTGTTCATTACACTACACTGCAGACATTAAGTATTGTTCATACTTTATGTGATGTGTAAAAATCCACTTTCTGTGAGAGTTTGAAGTGGTTATTGCAGGTGTCATATTGTTCTGATGGAATAAGTTTTAAATGACATTTTTACAAATGTTGTGGAAGGCATGTCCCTTCTATTTGATCCTAACTACAAGCACAGACCTAACACATATGATATTAGTTTTAACTCATGAGTTCTGAGACTCAGTGGTTGTGAATATAAAGGTATGTTTGAACATTTTTCAGTTATTATCTCTTTCCATTTTTTTAAAACCAGTCTGCAGCTGAAAACCGGTCAACTAATGTGAACTCAGTGGATGAATGTATCTTCAGTGTCATGCTGGGTTTACCTGGTGCTCTCCCGGCCGTCCCCTCCACAGAGGTCGGACTTCGACATGGCGTCACTCTGACACTCAGCGCAGACCAGCCTCTCTCTCACAAGCTGAGCACTCCACAGTTTGAGTTTACATGCTGCACTGGCCTGTTTCACCCGCAGGTACACACAGTAACTGCAAGCACAGAGAGAGAAGGACACAATTAATGTATATATTCTCAGCTACTACATAGAAAGAAATAGCGCTAGAAACCTACATCTGCAACCAATGTGTAGCTGAGACACAGGAGATAGATCCAGAACAAATCCTCATCTTTAATTTCCAGATCTGTGGGATGAGTGCATTATGGGCCTTGGCAAAGGTCGGAGTTGTGTTTAGTGCCGTTCTAGTTTCTCTTTGAATTGAGTTTTGGACTTTAATCATTCTGCCTCTACATCAACAGACACAGGCCCCGCTCCACCTCCCTGCTGTTTAATCAATCCAGCTTGGCTTGACTGACGAAAGTCAAGCGGTGATCCAACCCAGCAAGCTGCACTCAACCAAGATTATAAGCAGACAAAAGACAAATAAAAGATGCTGATAAGAGATGTGCTCCATTTGAAGATGATCCAGCGGAGTCACCTGCTGTTCCCTGACATCAACACAGTTCAGTCTGTGCACTGGGAACGATAATAAAGTCTTGTTTTCCTGATCACTGTGTTCTCTGGCAGACACTTTAACCTCCTGCACTATTTATTTTATCTGTGATTTAGTCAGCTGTGACAAAACACTGTGACCCTGTGGGGCAGTTCATCAAAGCAAACCTTCTCCGAAAGAATCCTGGAGATATTGTCCACCAGGAACTTTGAAAAATATATATTCTAATATCATGCAGTGTCAAATCTGATTTGGAGCAAATGTGAATAAAAAGCAGTGAACGATCAAAGTGGACAAGGTCGAGCAAAGTCTTCTAAGAACCTTGAAAGTATATTTTAGGCCTAATGGATTCTGTTGGACGTTTCGCATTAGCATAAGTATTTGGGATCTTTTTAAAATTATACTGGAACAACAAGTTTAATGACGTTCTATACACATGCACAATATGTTCACACACACACACACACACACAAGGAATTTACCATGTCCCCTCTCTTTATTAGACTTAACAAAACCTAACCAACCTCAAATGCTGTAGATTTTCATGCATAGCACTAAAATACTGTCCTGTCATAATAATTAATTCCTGATAGATTTAATGATTTCCAGAGATTAGAACAGGTCTTTCTATTAAGAACTGCAGGATAACTTCTGAATCTCTGTGAAATATCACTCCTCAGGATAATTTCACGGAGATAATGATGGCAACTGTACGATCATCATTTCAACTGGTGTAAACGTTCAATTCCCAAGTGGCCTGTGAATGCACCAGGTGTCTGTGCGAAACCTGAACTCTGTATCATCTGTATAATTTCTCACATTTATGAGTAATGTGCTTCCAATCCCCTGATGCTTTGTGCTTCAGTCAAAACAAAGGTTTCCGATGTCCAATTTAATCAGTGTAAAAAGGACGAGGGCCGTCAGGGACCCTGCCAGGATTTTACTCCTCTGCCTCTGATTTTTTTTTCCATCTCTGAGAACATCAGCAATCAGCGCAGGTCAAAGACGACGTCTACGCATGAAGGCCTTACCTTTCACATGGATTAAGGCTGCCTTATCAGTGAAGGTCAGCTCCTGATGCAAATCTTCAGAGACGGGGGTTCATGTTACATAGTCAAAGCAATTTCAAGCGGATGTTCGCTATGGCAACCTTGGCCTTGGTCCTCTCTAATCTTTGGGGGATTTAAAGTGACATTAAAAACCAAGGAAACACTGATATGAAGCTCTATCAGAGAAGCTTCAGTGCAGCCTTGGAGCTCGCAGCTGGAGTCAAACAAAAACAGATATCTGAAATCTGACAGTTTTCTCAAATGAAATCATTGCTGTAAGAATCAGAATTGGGTTTTATTGCCAAGCAGGTTCCCACTTACAAGGAATTTGCTGTGGTATAAAAGGTATATTAATAAAGAAATATAGTAATTAGAGGATTCATATATTATTAGTTATAATTACATCGATAAGAACAAGTTTTTGGTGTTTTTATAAATATGTTTTTGAAATATTTTTGTCGCCAACAAACAGTCTCAGTACACAAGGATCTTTCAACACTTGACACAGTTCAACTGCAATTACTTCCTCTCTGCACTGATTGCACATGAAAGCCGGTCGTACAGAGGAAATCCAGTTGAGCCGGGTCAGTGGCGAGCTGTGTGTTTGTTTGCAGTCTGATAATAGAGGCCTTACCTGGCCTTCTCCTCCTTCATCAGCATGTGTGGTCGTCTCCACGGGTCTTTGAAGTTCCTCTTGAAAGAATCAGGCAGGATCTTCGCCACCTCTGAAAGTCAGGTGCGGGGATGGAGAGGTGGAAGTCAGATAACTTGCACGAGTCAGTGGAAGCAGTAACCTCAAATATATGACTCAAAATGACTTATTATATAATCGTTTATTAATTCATTACAGTGATGTGATGTGCAGCGGAACTCTGGGTTCAACGGAAGTCTTTCCTGGTAAGTGTTAATTTGTGTTCTGGTGTTTCATTACCAGAAAAGTGCTTCAACATAGAGAACATAACGGAGGCATTTGACACAGAACAGCTGGAGATAAGGCTTCGGAACAGATATGCCCAGATGTGTTGCTTAGAGTAAAACCAGAGAGAGAGAGGCATACCCCAGAGAATACTGAAATGTGTCAGACTCAGAGCAGGAGTCGGCGCGTGCATGAATGCACGTGAACATAGTTAAAGTCATGTTCTTACCTTTGGCAGTGCTGCATATGGCGTTGTTTCCGAAGCATCCTCGACGCTGTTTGAGGTCTGGACAGGGCGTACCTCCGTTTCTGGGGGGAACAGAAACTTGGCGACTCCTTTCTGTGCTGCCGACTCCACACGGAGATGTGCATGACGACCAGGGACCCCATGATCCCACCACACAGTCAATGGCTGCTAGGGAAGCAGGAAAATACACAGATCACCTGAGGGGTTTTTGATAAACAGCAGCAGAAACTTAAATAAAAAAAACATAATCTAATCCCTCTTCTTGTTTTTGGTTAAAGTTTGGTTCAATGTTTTGATCTGGGTTTGTTTGTCTGTCTGTTCAGATTTAGGATTATGAAAACACAGGATGGATTACCAGGAAACTTGGTGGAAGGATGTGATATGGGTCAAGACAGTAACATTTTTCGATGTTTTCATCAAGTTCCAGGGGAATAATTCATTGTAGATGAAAAAAATCCTGAATATTTGGGGAAGTGATATCTTTGAATGTGTTATTTGGTGCAGCCTGATGGAATTTGAAGGGACTGTTGGACCGTGGAGGAGGTATAGGTTCTACTGAGTGTGATTCTAATTTCATTTATTTCAAAGTTTAGTGTGAAGTGTAGAAGACAAGCTCCAGCTGTGTTAGCATTACACGTCTTTAATGCTGAAGAATGAATGCTCCCTTACTCCAGATAATTCATTCCCTAATCGGTCGTCTTGTCTTACTGCATGACTGAAAGTGTGAGCTGCAACACATACCCAGATAAAGGCCTGCATGACATTGCACTGAGCATTTACTCAGGTGCATGGGTGCACAGGGACCCGGGTCATTACCAACGACTAATGTCAGACCAGCCCAAACCCCAGACTCAGGAAGTCTGCGACCCAGGTCAGATGGGTGGGGGGGGGGGTCTAATTTTGCATCCTGTGTTTCCTTCTACCCCACACTTACACACACATACACACACAAATACAACATGACACATAAACACAGCAGCAGCAATCAGGCTCTCCTTGTTCAGTACGCATTACATGGCAATTACATCAGGCTAAGAGGAAGCTGTATTAGTTAGATGGCTCCTCTGATCAAAGCCACGAGTCTCCAGCTGTAATCAGGCCTGGTCCGACACACACATATTTAATAGTGACAAACATTTAACGGCCTTGTTTTAAGGAGGAAGTGCAGCCTTAGTGAGCTGATAAACAAAGAAGGACAAAGGCTCTGGAGTGCTTCCACACAAATCAATACATGCAAATAAAGCATGTGTAACACGAGACAGGTTTTTCATGAAGTTAGTAGAATGGTCCTTCATATTTTCATGAAAGCAGGTGATCACAGTTTGAAGTTTGAAGCTTGAAGAAAATGGAGATGATGAATACTGTACACAACAACTGAATGTAATCCGATTAGTCTTTATACTCTCACCCTCACCAAGCAACGCTGCAAGTGTTTAAGTACGTGTGTGTGTGTGTGTGTGTGTGTGTGTGTGTGTGTGTGTGTGTGTGTGTGTGAACAGGAGAAAAACCGAGAGAAAGGGAGCTTTCAAGGTACCGCCTGTTCAGTTCATTCCCATGGTCCCGTTGGGGTTTCGGAGGGGGGGGGTGGCTGTCTCAGTGACACAGCCGATCCACAAAGCCACTGTGGAATCTCTGCATTCCTGCACATTAGTGCTGCCCACCTGACACTCGCCTTTCCCAGATCACCACACACACACACACACACACACACACACACACACACACACACACACACACACACATACACACACACACATACACATCGAAAACAAGTCCTGTCAGATGAACCCACCCACTTGGACTTGTTCCATCTTCAGTCATCGCCCTAAAACCCACAGACGAACACGTTTCTCTGTGTAGAGTGACATGAAGTTTCTTCAAGGAACACTGAAGGGCGTGATCCCATCAAAACCCCACAACCGTATTAACTTCCTCCTCCTCCTCCTCCTCCTCCTCTTATCCTCTTATCCTTGCTCCTGTCTCCTTGCCTTTCCTTCCCTCTCCTGCATCCTCTGACGTTCACAAGACCAGTTTCTATGTTGCTGTTTCTCTTTCTCATAGTGGGAAGAAAACACAATCAAACATGGCAGAAGTGGTCTTCACAGCTGAGGAAGAGTGAACCAGTGGAGTTCCAGGGCTGTTATCCCTCTGATGGACACAGACGTACATGCAAACAGGACTCAGGTTCTGTCTGGAAGTCTCAGCCTGTCGCCCCCCCAAGTCACCAGAGGTCACAAGGTAATTACCAATCTGTGGTGGTCCACAGCTCTCGCTCTCTCTCTGGTACCACCGCTGCGACAGTTCCACCGAGCACATGATAACCCTGCTGACAGCCTGACACAGCCTGACCCACACTACAGCTCACAGCCACCGGTGTCCCCTGTTTCCATTGTTGAAGAGAAAGTCCCCTGCTGGAAAGTACGCCACCACCTCTGACCTCTGACCCTAATACAGGAAACAAATGGCACTCGTTGTCAGCATGTTAAGCTTTTGTTTTTTTCAATGAGCTGATACTTTTACAACGTGTTTAAAAATGTTTTATCTTGAAGGAGACAGTTTTATCTGTGGATGTGTCTGCTCTAATCTACTGAAGCACAACGTTAACGTAAACTTTGAAACAGTCAAAACACTCAAAAGAAATGAAGCATTTCAATTACATATAAAAGTTCCAAACAACTTTATTACATTTTATTTATTAAGTTAAAGTAAATAAATCAAATTAATTGAGAGTGGTACTTTGCTTTTTACACTGTGATCCTTTAATATGTAATTGAATTACATAAAATTGATGTTTAGGGCTTCATTTGTTTTCAGTGCAAAATAAATGTATTTCACTGGAATTTAAGGCCCTGAAGATGTTTTTCCTCAATCAACTACTTAGTGAGTTAGTGAAGGGATCCCACTGAAACAGTTGAGACTTTGCTTGGACAAAGTTTGTGGCTAATTTTCATGGCAGCTGGCAGAGCTTCAGACAAACACCACGTATACTGAAACACTGCGTTACTGAATGTGTATCCAGCATCAGCACTTTTATCTCCCAACTTGTCAGCCAGTTTCCTCTCACACTTGTTACAGTCAGATACTGGTGCACTATCTTGCTTTTTCCCATTTGCATTCCTTTGCTTTTTCTCTCCCTCTCCTTGAATCCTGCTTCCATTTTAGGGTTTCGCGACAAAAGAGGTATCAGTCCTGCCCGCCCAATTTGCTTTATCTTTTTCTCCCTTTATCACTTTGTCCCACTCTCTCCCTTGTTCTTTCTCCTCCATCTGTCTCCTTTTTTTTGTGGACCTGCTTTCCACTTTCCCTCCCCCTCCTCGGGCCACCGCCGCCCCCACGTCTCCTCTCTGATGGGACCCAGATGTCGAGCTGCTCTGGAGGACCACTGCACCTCAAAACCTCCACAGTAACCCGGCCTCCCTCCCAAAGGGAAGTGCTGGGCCGCGGTCCCATCAGACAAGCCCTATAATGTTTGGCAACACAATAAGCCTGTTAATAGGGGTGAGGGACTAGGGACTGAGCCCTAATAACAGGTTAGCACATAAATGTTTCCTGTAGACACCTTGAAAAGAGGAGCCAACCAAACCAACTCATTAAAAGGATTCATTCCAAACACAGCTGGGTCAGGTTTTCTGTTGAAATAACAGGACCGAAGGTGATGTTTGCATCACGTCGCCTCCCGACACTTTGTTATAAGGATTATAGCAGCAGACATGGTACACAAACTCGTGCATCCATCCTGAACACTGGCTCCTACCTGCAGAAACATGACGGTAAGCTGTCTCCAGCAGCTGGCCCATTGCAGTCAAGCTTGGCAAAAACATCCACTAGTCATAGTGGTAAAGGTTAAAGAACATGTGGGAAGCGAGGAGGAGGAGGAGGAGGGAGTGAAGGTAGATGGACAGAAGCAAACATCGAGGTATGACAACATACTGTGCCCTGGAGGAAAGGAAGAGGAGCAGAAGAGTCAGCAGGGGAAACAGATGAATGATGAGCAAACCCCTGGTGTATCTGAGGCAGAGGCTACAATATGTCATCCTGCTGTAATGAGAATTACCAGACTCCACTGGCGGCAGGGAGAGGAGAGGAGTTTGTGAGGAGGAACGAGGAATTACGGACTCGCTGTAAAGCAGAGATGAAAATAATGTGATAAAAAAGAAGTAGAGTATAATTCATTCGTGACATCCAGTGCTCTAAACCTTTGTGGTGTTTTTAGTTCATCCTCTTAACCTGCCTCCTCCTCCACTTCTGCCTCAGACAGTCATTTCCTTTATTTGCCAGAATGCCCTTTAGCTTCCCTCAGTGACCCGGTAGCTATAGAATAGGGCAAAGAAAACAAGAGCCCAGAATAATCTAGCCCCCGAAAAAATGTCTCACATCTGGTGTTGAAGATGCAACTCAAATGTGCAGCGAGGCCTCTGTCAGTAGAGAAATAAACATCTTCTCAACAATCATTTATTTGTCCATACGTGACTCTTTAGTTTAAAACTTTTCAGCTCAGCAGGGAAGTTTAATAACTGTTAATTGTTAAACTATTTTGCCAAGATTAAAAAAATACACAGTCACAGTTTGATCTTCACCAAATTGCACACACTTATAAATACCTAAAGATGTGGGGTTCTATTATCAATACCCATGAATTATCATAACGCCACGATGGTCAAATCCGCACATACATTTAATGGATTATTTTCCTGCATCCTTCCACCATGTTTCGTGATAATCCATCCAGCAGTTTGTATAATCTTGTTTACGATCTGGACAGGGGGGAAATATACATATTGTTATAGATGATAACCAGAGTTAACTTGACTGTTGACCTGAAAGACAGCAAAGCTCTGCAACTCATCCCTATACTTTCCAATGCATCCAAAAACCTTTTTAACATGTTTCCACAAACACCAAACAAACACCACCGTTCATTCAAGTGCAGAAATAATTAATTCTCTTTCAGAAAGTAACGTATGCCCATCGATGACAATTTAAAAAAAACACTGATTTTTGCCAGAATTGCAGCAAAACGTGAGTTGTAGGGAGGATTGTTTTCCCTTTAAACATTCCAGCACAACTCCTCACAGCTCTTAACAGCAACAACATCTGACTTATGTCTGCTGCCATGCACAGGAACATCCTCCGCACTGTTTACTCACAGCACCACATTCCTGCCAAATACTTCATTAGAGCAACATCTGCAGAGAGAACGGTATCGCTCTCTGAAGAGCTCTGAGAGTTTAGGTCCAAGTGGTACAAACAGTCTGCTGCTGCATTCTCTGTCTCTCCTCTGATGTCACCCACTCCACGCTCTTTGCTCGGCTTCAGCTGACACGTGTTAATTACAGACTGTGACAGACGGCACACAGACAGACTCCTTGATGCGTTACAGAGCCGCAGGATCAGCATCAGATAAAGTCTCGGTGTAATGTGGGTGAGAAAATATCAGGTTGTTTTGATGGATTGAGCCAAGCCACAAGATGCATGCTGTGTTTACACTGTAAAGATGCTCCGGAAGTCAAGGTGCTTGCGTTGCTCGTGCTCACTGGTCCATACAAGGTTCAAAGGTCATGGTCGACTGACCATAACTCGTGTTCGTTCCAGACCGCAAAAACCTTATCAAAGTCTTTTCTAAGCACTGACATGACTTTCAGAAATTATAAATAATTATATTGAGCATATATTTCTTGATTCACAGTAACCACATGTGTCTGGAAAACACTGTTCAACCTGTAACATCTGCATGGCACCATCATGAGACTCTTTTCTGAGCTGTATCACATCGGAGCGACGCAGCCCTGATCTGGCACGTGATCAAACCGATGCACATGGCAGCCGTGAGCTGACCTCTGAGGGACCAGCTGCTGTTGAACGATACAGTGATGACTCAACACTGACCCGAGGTCCTTTTCCTGCGCTTAATCTGTTCAGTTTCGACTTGGCAGACACATGGGATGAATAATGTGATACCTGGAGTCCACTCAGCTGGATGATGAATACTTTGACTGAGGACACCATGAGAGCAATGCGAGAGTACGTGCACTTATGCGGAGAAACTTTACTTCAAGAAGCATAAATACAATTTTGTGTTTGTGCAATATTACCTATTAAATGGAAAATGTTAGATTGTCACAGTTTCTTAGAATTTCTGCATCTGAAGAGCTATTCTTGTGTCCTTGCTTCTTTTTCTATCTAAAATTGCCGCTTGATAAGAAAAGTTAAATGATGCTTCATGAGATGGAATATTTCTCTCTTTTTCACTCTACAAATACAATAACAAAAAAAATCAGAATTGGGGCTTTATATTCCTTTCAACATACAGATTTGTTTTTACTGAAATGAAGACATCATCATTTAATAAAGCCATATGCTACATAAGACAAGTTATAATGTGAAGTATCGAAAGAAAAGTCATTAAAATGTGCAAAATAATATCTGGTTTTAGTCGGGGATTAACAGGTGGTTCAGATATTGTTGCAGATAGGTTTGAAAAAGTGTATTAGTACTTCCATCGAAGTATTTTGTACACACTTCTCAGTGATTGATTTAAGCCTTTTCACCTCTCCAAAACATATCCAGGTAAACAATGTGTAAACTCAATGTGCCTAAATAGAAGGACTGCTTTAAAAAGCTCTTAAACTCGTCAAATGTCCCTGCAGGTGCTTGTTAGTGTGCACTTAAGGTGAGGGTCACACCCTGAGTGCACTCATACACATAATGTCCTTGTGAACTTGAGATGTTTCAACGTTCTGTATAAGAACAGCTTCAGTTACAAGTCTGACTGTTTCCCGTGTTACATCTCAGACACACAGCTCGGCTTAAATCCTGACCATCTTTGGCAGTCTGGTTTCCATGGTGTCCGCTCCCTCATTTGTCCTTATATAGCAGCAGCCGGGATGCTGAGGGAAGAAGTTACCTTAACTCACATATTAGGAGTCTGAGAACTACTTTAATTTCATGACTCAAAGAAGCATTTATATTTGGTTTGTTTTTTGTTGTGATCACTCACCAGCACTTTCAGGTTGTGCAATTTGTAGCTTTGATGTGAAGGCCAAGGGTCAAGCCTACAAACTTGAAAACACATAAACACAAGCTGCTGGTGGAAAACACTGAACCATGAAGACAGCAGATAGCCCTCGAATGGTCATCTCTGGCTACCCACTTAAAACAAACAGCCATAATGGGCGCACTGGAGACAGCTATGTGTAGTATGTCTCACTGTCTCTGTGTCACCTCACTGCCAGCCGTCTCTGGCTCTAAGTGGACAACAAGGAACAACAAGTGTCTCTGGACAGGATACACATTCTCTACAGCTCATGATGTTAACTGTAACAAAAAGTACCTGAAGTTATTTGACGTCAGATTTATAGAACAAGCAACTCACCAGATATTTGGCACACACGCTGATAGTCCTCGCAGCAGTCTCCGGTCTTCTGACAGTAGGTATCACAGTAGCACACAGTTTTTCTCTTGCTGTACTCGGAGCAGTCGTTATTCCGGCCGGTGCAGCAGTTCGGGCTCTCCCTCTCCCTGCAGCCCGCTTCCGCCCCTGGAACAATCTCCGCGCAGAAAAACACCAAATATCCACAAACGACGAACCCAAGACGCGCCGAGCTCCATCCACGCGCTCCCATGACGGAAACTTCTCTGGGTCCACTTGCTCCACGCGCACGCACTCTGCTGGTGTATCCTTCACTTTGGGTCGTGCTTGAAACTAGATTACACTATCACGTCACAGATTATGTTTTCTATATAGAATCCAAGCACAACATGGTCCTATTCACGAGGAGGACGAGATGACTGCTGCGGTGAACAACTGATGCGTAAAAGTGGAGCTTGTGTGCGCACCAGCTCTCCTCCTCTGTCGGACACCGCCCCTTGGAGCTACTGTTGGTTATTGGGAAAGACTTACAGTACAACCTCTCTCTCTCTCTCTCTCTCTCTCTCTCTCCCTATTGGGCTTGTTTGCGCAATATGTCAAAAACAAGCACAGAATCAAGTTATATAATTTCTAACAATGTATTGCACCACTAATATATGCAAAACATACACATATATAGACATTCATAGTGACTTGCATTGTTGCACCAAAGCTGGGACGACCAACATTTCAAGGAATCCAAAACTGCTGTGAAAAGACAAGTGCATCTCGGGTGTTTTCACTACAATTTCTGCAGGAAGCGATGTGAAGACACCTCAAACCTTTGAGTTCAGTCTGAGCTCCCTGTCAGGAAAACACATTCAGCACCACGGACAGCGGCGCGGCCACTTTATAAAAAATAATAATAATTAAATAAAAGAGAGATTCACCGGAACAAGGTTCAGTCCGCAGGAACTTGAAGAAAGTGAAGTGGTCCCTGCTGAGCTGCAGCATCAAACCCATCTCCACTGATCCCGCAGAAGTCAGCCTATCGAGAGAAAGACTGGAGAACAATAAGATTACTTCCACTTCACCGGCTCCGAGTGAATGGAGGCTGTGGAGGAGAAACTGAGCTACTGTAAAAGAGCAGCAGCACGAGAGAGACACAAGACAATTTATATCCAGATAAGTGGTAAAACAAAGATTAGATTTGACAATGTTTGAATATCAGAGGTTGCTGGGAAAGTGTTAAACATTAGATGCACTGCTTCATATACTCTATAAGCAAATATTGTGTAAAAACACGTATGAGATATATGGTAGTGCAATGGTTGGGGTCTGAACCCCCATCCCCCAAACACCCAGTGGGGTAAGAAGGCTTTTCTTTACATGTCAACCTCTTTGGGATCTTGGAAAATAAGGAGGAAAATGTTTTTTTTAATTCACATTCATGTAAAAAGTTGTTGTGAGATCACAAGGAGATTCTCCTTCATTTAAGTGTTGCCATATGAAACCATCACTTTATCTCAATTACACCGAAAGGAAGAAATAAAGATCCTGTGTGTTACTGATCAGTTGTGAAAAATAGAACATCTATAACCAGAAAAGTGTTTTCTTTGTCTGAGGGCTCCCAAGATGTGATAGTTGTTCAATAACTAATCACTTTTTTGCTCACATCTGGATTGTCCTGATTCCTCAAGTCTCAATGGTTAAGAGCCACTGACGTATACGTTTAATGAGCTGTTGTACGTTTGATTCCTGTGAGTCTTAACTTGATGAGATTTTTTTTTCTTTCTCACTTTTGAAACAATCTTGTCTCCAGCAGCAGAGGGGAGAGATGGGGGAGGAGGGGTGATGATGTTAGGATGAAGAGGGGGATAGTGGGGGCTCGGACCCTCCTCATAAAGACCTATTGTACAGATATGAAGGGAGAGAGGAGGCGTCTCTCATCACTGATGTGAATGTGCCAGAGGATGAAGGAGGGAGAGGATCACAGATGTGTTTGAGTCTCTGGCAACAGCTCCCCCTAGTGTTTAAAATGGATCTTATCATATCTCTTTAAGTCTCACCACTTCATTCTGTCATCTCAGATTCTCTCTCTCCTTATTATCAACCATTATTCTGCTGTGTGGTTCACTGATGCTCCACCGTCCGACGCCTTCACACCTTCACACCTGTGGAGCAAAATAAACAAAGTAAGTTTCGTGGGCACTTTACTTGCAAATATTATATATTGTAATCTTCATAGATGACTATTGGAGAGAGTGAGAAGAAGAAAATAACAGCCAGGCTTCATGCTTTCATGTTTTCAGATGCCTTTTTAATGAGTTTTAAAATCCCCTCCCACAACAAATGACTTTACATTAAGCACACACTACAGACGATGTTTATTGCACGAGATTCATCCTATAGAACCACTCACACATATACACACATACATGAAATACATTGATCTTCAATAACAATATCATTTTCTCTTGGTCTTTTGGCTGTTTGGAACACAAGGATTTTTTTTTTTGGGCCAAACAGAAAAATACAGTAAAGGTGATTATTTCAGCAACATGGGAATATAATCCATCAGTGTTTTAATACAATCATTATTGAAAGACACATATATTCTAACTGTATTCACATCACCAGTGATGAAACAAAGAGGAATAATATACCTTATTATAAAAACAATAAATAATATATGTATGTAAATACAACTGAGCTACAGAATTAAAACAATTCTACAGTTTAACAGGTCGCTCATAAAGATATTTCTGAAGTAGCATTTGCAGACAAACAGAAAAGCAAAAGGCACATAAGTGAGAAAAAAAAAACCCTTGAATGAACTGGCAATGGATTTGAAAACAAAGTGATTTTCAACCTCTTTGGTGGGAGACCCCTTTAAAGATAAAGAAAACATTGCTGATGTGCAACCCCATTAATGAAAATAATGAACCTAATATAAGTAGAAATATATTTTTCCCAGTGTTAGAATATAACCTGATTATCACGCTTCCACTGAGGAGGAATCAAGGTTCAAAGTTACTTAGTGTGTAAAATATTTTCCAAATGATCGAAAACACCTTTAAACCCAGACCTGATAACAGAAAAAAAACTTGACACAAGTGGCACAAGAGTAAATCTCTAAAAGTCTCTGAAGCATCTGCATCTTTCAA